TGTCTGTGTCTGTGTGTGTGTGCGTGTGTGTGTGTGTGTGCGTCCGTGCGCGCGTGCGTGTGTGTGTGTGTGCGTACGTGCGTGCGTGCTGGCGTGCGTGCGTGCGTGCGTGTGCGTGCGTGTGTGTGTGTGTGTGTGTGTGTGTCTGTGTGTGTGTGCGTGCGTGCGTGTGTGCGTGCGTGTGTGTGTGTGTGTGTGTGTCTGCGAGAGTGTGTGTGTGTGTGTGTGATTGTGTGCGGATGGTGATCACAAACCCATCAAACGAAAATCTGAACCGTACGTAAAACACAACGTAAATACATCACGCCCGTAAAACACAATACACAATTTAAATACACAACGTCAGCAGAACATAATACACAGCGTAAATACACAACAGCACGCATATACACAGCGTAAATACACAGCAGCACGCATATACACAGCGGAGATGCACAGCAGCACGCATTTACACAGCGTAAATACACATCAGCACGCATACACACAGCGTAGATACACAACAGCACGCATATACACAGCGTAAATACACAACAGCACGCATAGACACAGCGTAAATACACAACAGCACGCATATACACAGCGTAAATACACTACAGCACGCGTATGCACAGCGTAAATACACAACAGCACGCGTATACACAGCGTACATACACAGCACGCGTATACACAGCGTAGATACGCAACATCACGCGTATACACAGCGTAAATACACAACAGCACGCATAGACACAGCGTAAATACACTACAGCACGCGTATGCACAGCGTAAATACACAACAGCACGCATATACACAGCGTACATACACAGCACGCGTATACACAGCGTAGATACGCAACATCACGCGTATACACAGCGTAAATACACAACAGCACGCATATACACAGCGTAAATACACTACAGCACGCGTATGCACAGCGTAAATACACAACAGCACGCGTATGCACAGCGTAAATACACAACAGCACGCGTATGCACAGCATGAATACACAACAGCACGCATATACACAGCGTGAATACACAACAGCACTCGTATGCACAGCGCGAATACACAACAGCACGCATATATACAGCGTAAATACACAACAGCACGCATAGACACAGCGTAAATACACAACAGCACGCGTATACACAGCGTAAATACACACCAGCGCGCATATACACAGCGCCAATACACAACATCACGCATACACACAGCGTGAATACACAACAGCACACATATACACAGCGTAAATACACACCAGCACGCATATACACAGCGGAGATACACAGCAGCACGCATACACACAGCGTACATACACAACATCACGCATATACACAACGTAAATACGCAGTGATACTCCAGGCTGCGCGAATGCAGAACGTTTCGCAACGTATACATTTAACACCAGTCACAAACACAACGTAAATACACGACACCGCTCACATACACAACGTACATACACAACACCGCACGTATACACAGCGAAAATACACAGTACTACGCCGCGATGCGCGAATGCGAAACGTAGATGCAGAACGTTGCGCACGTTTGCAACGGAAAGCCACATTATGCGACCTCAACTTAACCTTACTTAGCTTTACTTCACTTAACTTGACGTAGCCCAACTTACTCTAACTTAATGTAACCTAACATAACTTAGTTTTACTTAACTTACCCTACATTAACCCGGTTAACTCAACTTAGTTTAACCAAACCTAACTTAACTTAACTTAGCTTACCTTATCTTGACCCAAATCAACTTAACTTAACCTAGCTTAACTTGATTCATATTGACTTGGCTTGATTTGACTTACCTGACTTGACTTAAGGTTTAACTTAACTTGACTTGGCCTGGCCTGACTTGACTGAAGGCGGAACGAAACTTACACTAACTCAATTTAGCCCAACTCAAATTATTTAACCGAACTTGGCTTGACTAAGCTCGATTTGACTTTGATTGACCTGACTTGACTTGATTCGACTCAACTTAACTTAAGTTGACTTAGCTTGACTTAGTATTAACTTAACATAACTTAACGCAACATTGCTTGCATGACGTTGTCTTATCCTATATGAGCTTCTTAGCCCAGCTTAGCTTAACTCAGCTCAACTCAAATCAGCACAACTCAACTCAATTTATCCTAACTTTACTTGGTTTAACCCAGCGTATCTTAACTACTTGTTAAATGACTTATCTTAACCTAACGTAAATTAGCCACGCTTAACCTATCTAAACTTAACTTAACGTAACTTACCTAACCTAACCTAACTTAACCTAACAGAGCCTGGCCACATTTAACCTAACTTATTTTACGCAGCGTCACTTAATCTTGACTTAATTTAAACTACCCTAACTTAACGTAACTTACTGTAACTTATATGAATTTATCCTGACTCAACTAATCTCAACTCCGCTTAACCCAGCTTAACTCAACCCAACTCATCCCAACCCAACTCAACATAACCGACTTACTCCAACATAACTTAACTTAACCTCACTAACTTAACTTAGCTTAGCTT